GGGCACTTACTTGAACGTTCACGAAAGATGAGAGGAGACGAGAACGAAGTGTTGGAAGCATCGGGATCCACTGTTAGCGGTAGCGGTGGTACTGCGAAACCTCTTACGAATATTCAGCGGAAAAAGAGGAGAGTTTGAGGGCAAATTATATGGTACATACTCGTATTTTTGTAAATTTTTTAAACTTTTTATCCAATGCCCAGAACATATATAATAAGGGAGAAAGCCCAAAGTAGGACTAAAACATTGAAGATATACCAAAATAGGACTTTAATGTTTTTATTCCCGAAATAGGATTTACATTACCAAACATGGTCATATACATTACCAAGAAAGTATATTAATTTGCACATGTACACTGTCACATTACCACAATGCAAAGTCACATTACCACAATGCAAAGTCCTATTCCGGGAAAAAAAACATGAAAGTCCTATTTTGGTACTTTTTTCTATGTTTTAGTCCTATTTAGGATGATTTCTATAAGAACTATTATACTCCCTTCGTCCGAAAATGTTCTTCCCGTGTTGACTTGGCACGCTTATTAAGGAATAGTAAAAAAATGCAAAATTTTCAAAAATTCACATACTATAAACTTTTAAATCTCCTTTTATTATTAAAAAAGTACTAAAAAAGTAGATTTGTGATAAAATAGAAAGATATTATTGATATTTAGCCTTAAAAAGTATATTAAAAGAGGAAATGGGAAGAATATTTTCGGACGGATCAAAAAGAAAAATGGGAAGAATATTTCCGGACGGAGGGAGTATATGACAATGAGTACCAGCAGATTTGAGAAGGAGTACCAGCACTTATGAATAAACCTGGGTTTTAATTCTCCATGCTCAGAGAGTATAAATGAGTAGGAATGAATCGAATAGAGAAAGAAGTTGATGATGGTACTGAACTTTTAAATTGTGAAAAAATTAAACAATACTTTATTTTAGAATGAACATTTCTTTATTTGAGAATGAGTATTGTTTTTTTTAAGAATGAACACTACGCTATTTATTACGGAGTATAATTATATTAGACAAATGTGTAAAAATGAGTATTTCTTTATTTTAAAATGAGTACTACCTTTGCCAGAATGAGTACTATGTATTTCGAAATAAATGTTTATATTTGTACGAGAATGAGTACTACTTTATTTCAGAATGAGTACTACCGGGATGTACCTATTTCTAGGTACATCCGGATGTACCATATACCAACTCGAGTTTGAGCGCATTTCCATGAGTTACATACTTACATTTTCATGCTTTATATTAATAAAATGTCTTGCTATCACAAAATTTTATAGTCGATATAAATAATTGTATGGGAGCGTCTAAAATGACACTAGTTACTTATACACAAGTTGCTTACATCAGTTCGTTTGGGGTACTTATGGTGCTCCATTTGTAAAAACGACAGATCCTACCCCCCCTAACCCTCCCCCTAAACCCCCCAGCCTAGCCCCACCCTTTCCCCCCCCCACCCCAGCCCTCCTCCCGCCCCCTCCCTACCCTGGCAGTTCCAGGGGTAGGGAGGGGGGGAGGAGGGGGGACTGGGGTGGGGGGGGGGGGGGA